GGAAAGATTTGATTTTAGTCTTGATTATCTCAAGACATTATAGTATTAAAAAAAAAACCCCATGAACTACCCCACAATTATTATGTACAGGATATATTAAGACATAATATATAAAATAACAATTTTAAATCACAGGCAGGTGGGGGCAGATGAAGCTTATCCCATCCTTGTGATCCAATCATAGCCAATATTCATAGGTTTGGAGATTTTAAGACCAAAACCAGCAATTCTCAGCTCTTCCAAAAGTAACTCAGTTTCTCCTCTTGCTTCCTCTACTAATTCCTATCCTGCGTGTGAGAAGGAGCCTTAAGGAGATCCCACCACTCATTCTCTGTGTAAACACAGACAGGACAGGAATAACAGAAAGAAGGGGGTACAAAGGAATAAATTTCTCTCTGTTTTTATCTTTGGCTAAACAAACTCTTAATTTGTTCTGTCTAATACCCTTAGCAATGGTTGAAAAATTTGATGTTGTCTGACCTCTGCCTATTACAGTGCACCGTAGTTTACTCATAAATCTATGAACCATGATTTCAGATTTGAAATAATCCACGTAAATATGAGCAGTAAGTAAATCAGATGTGATACCCTCAATATACGCTAAAGACTTTCAAACAGTCACATGAAGGGTATCAAGCATACCGTTCTCATTTCCTGTTTTAGCTGCTACCATATTGCTATGCAATATACACATTTTAAAATGTCCAGAATTCTATTCTATGGACTGAATAATTGAAACCATTAAATAAGGCTACTTAGTTTGTATGTGAAAGACTGCATACAGGAACAATAGAGGTAAGTTAAGCAGATTACATGCAATTTTATACAGATACATGAAGTTGGATACTACCAGAGCTATTATCAGCACTTACTTTTATAGGTAGTGCTCCTGCAACAAATGCTCTTCCATGTATCTTTGTCACTGTGCCACGTTCTGTTAAATTTATTGGGCTCAACTCTTTGACTGGTGACATCTGGACTACAACTTCACCACCTCCCTGAGGATAGTAGCCCCTATTTAGAAACAGTAATCAGATGACAAAGAAACCAAGAAAAGAGCGAGAAAGCTCTTCATATATTTCATTATACTTTTTGAAGTTCTCTGTTACTGCACATATGAATTTTCTTGATGTGTGCCTTAGAAATCGTTATAATAGAATTAGGTTCCCTAACAGTATTACCTCATAACACACATCTTATTAACTACCTAACACCAACATAACTGGCATCTCAGAAAAAGCTTCCCTCAGGGGTAGCCCTTAGGAAACACTAAACAGCACCTGAAGACTCAGTAATGAAAAAAAGACAGGAAAGAACCATACCCCATTCGTCATATGGTGACAGTACACACAGCAGCAAGCTAATGCACTTAGTTCATGTATTATAAATTCATCCCTTAACTTGATTGAGGGTACCTTGTGTGTGTGTGTGTGCCTCTGTGCTCACACACCAGTTCAGTAAGGCCTGCCTCTGCCACGTGTCTCCATAACTCACCTCTTTTTTATGTCACAATTAAATGTGAAATTGAACTTTTCAACTATTGGCTTGAAAACCTGAAAAACAAGTATATATAAAATTACATTGTGAATCTATTTTGCATTTATAATTTCCCACTCTCTTATGCAGTCTTCCAAAAAAAAAAAAAAGAAAAAAGGTCAACACAAAAATTTCAGTTACATTATTAAAAAAAGAGATAAACAGTCTCATCCATACAGCTTCTTTGACATTCCTCATACTTCATTCTGAATGACACTTGTAGAATAAAGAATACATTTTAAATAAAAATTTCTTTAGTAATTAAAACCAAACAGACTAGTTGCTGTTTCAGGGAATTCCATGAAACACCGGTTGCTCTCTACATACAGTACACTAATAGTATTATATTCCCATGCCCAATTCCATAATTGCAAATAAACTTGCAGTAAGAGCAACAGAAGTACAGCAGTTACATTGCATATATATGTGTGAAAGATGCACCAAGCCGAAGAAATGTTTCCCTACCATGACTGTGTAGTCTATCTGAGGAGCCATCTCAGCATTAGTCCCACCTTTTAAATGAAGTTCTGATGGGGAAGCAGCAAACAGCACACAGGGCATTGCTACCTGCATCAGTAGACACACACTCCTAAAAGCAATTATAAGATACTCAAATGTCATGCAGTCATAATCCATAGACTTGCATAGAATCATTACACATCAAAGGCAAATGACTTTCCAGAGCATTTATGTAAGTATTTGATTTTGAACGTTATCTATAAAGTAAATGTATTAGTCTTAAAAAACACAAATTTAAAATTTAATGTCCTTAGCAAGGCTAAACATGAAGGTTTTTGTTTTACAATAATTGCGTCTTTAATATTCCTGTTTGAAATAAAAGTAATGTAGTACAGTGACAGGACTGTGAAAACTGTAGGTTTAGCTAGCAGATGATAAAAGCAGAAAAGGCTTAGGCAGCAATTTAATTTTTTTTGCTTGTGATTAATTACTAATTCTGCTGCATTGTTGCTTACTCAAACCTTTATGTGTTAAGTAAAAGGCGTCAGCTTGGTTGTTTATACTATTGCATCTCAGAAAAATATTTCTCTTAACTTAAAGGAAACTTTAATTTATGCCTAACCTGGCTTATGTGTCCAAACTGTTCACACCAGCCTTCCATAGCTAAACCCATTTACTTGGCTTTGCAGCAGATTCCAAGACAAAGGACCCAACGCAGAAATATAGGATAGAAGAAACACAGGCACAAAGAACCGTGGATAGATGATGTTCCCCATTCCAAAAGACTAGTATCCCATATTGTACCATTACATGAGTAAGTAAAATCTCAAAATTTACTTTATTATATGGCAAGGATTAATTCAGATCTCATGGACTTGAGATACTTATCTAATTTGATGCATTTGACGTGATATGTAACGTACTAATGGGAGAAAATAACGGATAAAGTTTTAAATACGTGGTCAGCTGTTTTTTGCTTAACAATAATCAAGTGTTCAACTCATATATCAATTATAATTTTAAAACTATTACACTTGCATGTACTTTATTCATACATATCCTGCCTACACTAAAGGTTCTTTGGTCACGTGTATCTGGCTCAGGCAGTACAGATTTTGGCTCATTACCCATGTATTAACATTCTTTTTCTCCCTGCTCTTTTGGGTTAATTTTAAAGTTGCCAAAACATCTTCTGTCATAATTTTAAAGTTACCAAAAGCAGTTAAGAGCAGTTACTGGTCAATCATTATACCTGTACAAAGACATACCCTGCTGTTTTTGTATCTGCTATGTGGGCTCCACCTTTGATCTTCCCAGGAGTAAAGGCTATTTCTGTTGAGCCAATTTCTCCGCCTTCCAGCTTCCCCTCACATAGATCTCGAATGATCTCCAATCCAGACAGATGCTGAGGCCTTGGAGTGACAATACAAAGTTAGATACTTGCAAGCAGACTAGATACTTGTGTTACATTAAAAAGAACTACTACACATCAGCTAATAAATACAACAACTGCAAATTTCAGCTCAAACAGGGATGAGAAACTCGATCTGGTTCCTACAGTACTTCCAAGTTCACAGGAGCCAAAGCAGCAGCATTCAGGCCATTCTGGAATTTGCAGGATTCTGGTGTGTTTTCCGTAAGAATGAGTCCAGACAGATAGATGAGATGCAGGAGCATTCACTTGTCCTGATGTAATAAATGCTCAGACAAAACTGCAATGGGATAATGATGGCAATGCTGAACTGGAGCCAAGCCAGTAACTGGTTGCCTGAGCCACCAGACAGCTAATAGTTTTGCTACATTTTGCTGTGCTCGTGTTTCCATTTGTTTAAACAGGACAGAAACAAACTGTTCGTAACACTACATGCTTGGTGAATCATGTTTTGCTGAGGCATTACATGACCTCAACTGTATTTCATGTTTCATACCGTGCAGTCTGCTTAGCACGTTTGAAAATATTTTCGAGAGCCCTGTAAGCCTGTGGTGCCTCACAGATGGCGACAGGGGCAGTGCCCTCACCTGCCCTGCCAGCCGGCGGGGCCGGGCACGGCGCTGAGGGCCGGGCGGAGGGCTCCGAACCCTCCCGCCGGGAGACTGGGGGCCGTCCCTCTCACACCCTGGTTTTCCTCCGCACTCAGTCCTTCCACTAAGTGAGCCACAAGCAGGATTTTCTGATAAAAAGGCCCTCTAAAAGCAATGGAAATACATGAGGTTTGTTCTTGGA